ACATGAAGCACAAGAACAAAAACCTCTTAAAATAAAGGAAAAATGCATTATATCAAACTGCCAAGTTAGATATCAGCCAGAAGATACCTCTAATAGTAAAGAGTCCTCAAATATGATAAATGAAGTTGCTTTAATGAATCAGGATATTGCTTTCATAGGTCAGGATATTGGTTCAACATATGGTGAAACATCGGATAATGAGACATACAATTTTTCACCTCTTCCTCAGTCTGAAAATCTTCAGTTCTTTGTCAAGCAGCTACTTAAAGATTTTTATAATGCAAAATTATCTTTGTTTTATTCTAGTGAAGATTTGTTATTCTTTTCTGATGATAACAATAAAAACGATAACATGAGAAGTGATAAAGATTATGAAACTGAGGAAGAGAGTGAAGAAGAAGATGTAATAAATTTCGATGCATCTGATAAAGATGATAGCCTAGAAGCCAATATCTGAAATATTAATGAAGATGTGCTGTGAATTATATTATAGATTTTCCATTACCAACAAAGATATTGGCATTCTGATATGAGCATTAATGTTTTGTTTAAATATTTTCAGTTTTTGTTAACCAATATTAGCAAGGAAAAATATGATAGTTTTCCTACTTTAATTAATGTAGCAAAAAATATTATTGGTATATCTGATCATGCAACAAAATTCACCGCATGCGAATCTTGTTATAAATTATATAATCCAAAAGACATTATAACAAAAAAGGCAAAACAAAATTCAAAAATACTTAATTATACCTATGTGGAGTTTCCAAACTATACGAATATCAGCAGACAGGTACCATGTGGTGCAATACTTTCAACAAAAGTTAGAGTAAAAGATAGCATAATCAGGAAGCCGATATCAACTTATCCCGTAATAAATCTCAAGCAATAGCTCCAAAAGCTATTCTAGCAACCAGAATTTGAAGAAGTATGCAGGAGATAGGTCTATCGACCTTTCAAAGCCCAATTATCAGATATTTATAATAGCAGAATATAGAAATCATTCTCTGATAATGAAGGGATACTATTTTTTTGTTCTAAAATAGCTGATAGCCATATAGGATTAATGATAAATTTAGATTGGTTTCAACCATTTAAAACTTCTCAATATAGTGTGGGGGTCATATATGCTGTCATATATAATCTTCCACGTCAAGAAAAGTATTTTTTTTTATTTTAATTTTTTATTATTTTTTTTGTAAATTTGATATATATTTTTTTTTTTTATACATTCATTATATTTCTTTTTTTTTTATTTTTTTTATACATTCAAAAAAAGAAAAATTGATACTAAATCATCAAACATTCAGTCAAATATTTAGCTACTGAATGTTTAACGATTTAGTATCAATTTTTCTTTTTTCAACTAGTGGTATGATCAAATATAATATTAATTTATTATATATAAAAAGTTTAAACCATCTAATATAATAACATTGGCTATCATACCTAGATCATCGGAACCAAAACAGCATCAATTAAATTACTACTTGGCACCTATTGTCGATCAGCTAATAGAACTTTGAGAAGGGATAGACCTATCAGCCACATTTGAGTCTCTATCTGGCAAGAGAATCAGATGCGTAGTAATCTGTTGTTCTAGTAACTTACCTGCAGCAAGGAAACTTTGTGGGCATATTTCAGTTAAGGCTGCATATCATCACTGCTATAAAAGAGCTAATTACGATATTTGGAATCAACTTCATTATAGTGATATTGCTAATATGGATTCCTGATTTGTAGAACATGACTACAACCTTATCCGAAATGATGCGATGAATTGAAAAAAATTATAAAACTGCTGATCAAAGAAAACAGCATATTTCTGATATTCTTGTCAGATGGTCAAAAATCTATAGCTTCTATATTTCAATTCTGTTAGATTTCTGGTAGTGGACCCAATGTATTGCCTCTTTTTGGGAATAGCCAAATGGATCATAACTAAATTATGGATTGAAGATAACTAGTTAACTTCTGAAAAGTTAAAAACTATGCAGCTATTAGCAGATAAAATCAATGTACTATCAGATATTAGTAGAATCTCTTGTAAAATCTCTACCGGAGAAGGATTTTCAAGATTCATAGCAGATCAATGGAAAACTTTTATTCTTGTATATGCTACTACAATTTGCTGGGATCTGTTATATGATGCAGACAGAAAAATTCTTACTTATTTCATTCAGGTATGTAGCCTATTAGTCTGTAGAACAATCGATGAAAGAGATTTAGAAGAGGCACACCAATGTCTGATAGCTATGATAAAAATTATTAAAGAAATATATGGCCCTGAAAAAATTTCTTCTAACCTTTATTTAAGCCTCTATATTTGTGAATACACTTTAGA